CCCATCAGGCTTGAGTGTCCAGTAATCTGCAAATTGCATCTGATGGTTTATCGAGGTGATAAAGCCTGCTGTATTTCTTTCTGGCGGCAGAAATCAGTCTTTCTTTTTTTGTGACTTAGTCTTGTCTGATCATCTCTGCTTCTCCATGTTTTTTTTCCCTCTTGTTTCTTGTTGAACTTCTGGCCTTAACCAACTGCCTTACAGTAGTTTCACTCCCTCAGATAGACAGGTCCTCTTCCTGTTTTCACGGTTTCAAGACAGTGTTCTCCTCTGTCTGGACACATCCTCTTAGAGCTCCTGTCTGCCATCGAGGCTTCAATTTCTTACCATCTTTACACAGATGATGCAAAGACCCGTCTCGTTTTCTGGATCCTTCCACGTCACCTAACGTCCCTCAGCTATGAGATGAATTTGCATCTTAAGCATGACCTCACTGAATCATATTCCCTCTTCTTTTCAGCAGTTTCATCTTCTCTATCTTTCACATCTCCTTTTGTCTTTCTGGATTTTTTCAGGTTTTTCTTCCTCAAGGTCCTTGGATATTTCTTCTAGTCATTAAAAGAATGTCTTTCTTGCTGTCTATTTGTTGTCTCTTTTGTAACAATGTCTAAATGTTTCCTCCTGAATGGTTACATACATTTCTACATACAGTATTTCTTACTTCTACTTACTACTGCCTCTACGCTTTAGGATTGTGGCTTCCTGCCTCAGCACTGCTCCCTCCTCAGCTAAGCCAGTCTCTCTCTCTCAGCCTTGCTACACCAAGTACACCACTCTGCACTGGATGTCCAACTCTTCCTGACCATTTTTTGCCCATCTCCCCCATCTGTCTGTCCATCTTTTTGCTCTCCCCTCTCTCTGTCTCTCTGTACTGTTTGTCCATCTATACCTCCTTCTCTCTCTGTCTGTCCATCTGCACCTCTGGTCCCTCTCTCTGTCCATCTGCACCTCTGGTCCCCTCTTTCTATTTGTCCATCTGTACCTCTGGTTCTCCCTCTATCTGTCCATCTGTATCTCTGGTCCCCTCTCTCCCTCTGTCCATCTATACCTCTGGTCTTCTCTCTCTGTCCATGTGTACCTCTGGGCCCCCCCCTCTCTCTCTGTCCATCTGTACCTCTGGTCCCCTCTCTCTGTCTGTCTCCGGCTAGTCTGTTCCTGGCAGGGGCCCCACATGGTGCCACAGAGATGGAGCAAGCATGGCTGAAGTGGTGTGACACTGGTGCCCTACACAGAGACTGAATTACCTTCTGTCCTGCAGCAAACTGTCCCCCTTTTCAGGCTGTTTGTCCCAAAGGAGGGAAACCACTGGTTGCCTGGGGTAGTCTTCTGTTGCCCATTCTCCAGTACTCATTGTTTGCCTTCTCTGGTGCACTGAAAGGTCTGACTACCTTTCATTTTCTTTGCAAGACTGACCCCCTTCAGAGTACATTTCTACTGTTCTACTATAACTTGTGTTCTTCACAGAATCACACGTGCTCTGAAATAACTGATTTTGTATTCATTAGTTCAAGTTTTAGACTTTAAGTATAGGAAAAATAAAATACTGTAAATGAGCTGTTACAGTATAGTTTTTATGTCTTATCTCATCCCTGCAAAAACTGAGGTTATTGCATTCCTAATATTAAATTACAAATCTTACAAAATATATTAATAAGTAATAATACTCACATGCATGAATCACAAAATTTCTGTCACATTTACGTTATTTGACTAATTATTTTATAATATTTATTCCGATAAGTCTTCTTTGCAATAACTACATTTTGGATAACCTTACATGTGACTAAAAATTCTAGAAAAAATAAATTTAACCCATTTTTGTAGTTTCCAGCTTGATAACCTCAGACAAGACTCAAAATGACTATGTTGTATAGCTCTATCCTGCCTGTCCATCAAGAAAAGGATTTTAGAAACCTAAAATCATGTAAGTTAGTAATCACAACTGAAATACATTTACAAAAGTATTTTCAAGTCAAAAAGGAAAGCTTTCTTTTCTTTACAGAAATGACAGGTAAATTCATCATGTTGATTAACATTTGTCATCGACTGATTTTACCCAAAGGGGGTCTACTGTGAAAGTCACAGTCTTGTAGTATGTAGCTGTACCACTAATGGAAGAGAGACATGCTTTGCTCCACTGTGCGGGTTCATTCTTGTAGGATTCTGTCTTGTTTTTGGACAAGTCTGGATAAGCCCTTGACACCAACTCTCAGCTCATCCCAGAAATGTTCAGAATGCTCAAATCTGCAGACATCCACTACATAACTGCCTTATTCTCATCCTGCAAGAAAGCCATTCTCACATAAGCTGAATGAGCACCTGTCCCCGTAAACACCTGCCCCCCTGAAAAGGAAGCAAGTGAGACCCCAGGACCTGATCAGTGCAGTGCTGTGCAGTGAGATTGCCAACAGTCGCTATGAATGGACTTCAGTAGAGCCTACATGCTTCTGACCAGACAATCACACCTAGACCTTACCATCAGTCTTGGAAAGGTCTCTCCTAGATGGAGGCCCGACACTGACACACTGTACTTGGCTGTAATTTTGCTTGGTAAGAAATTGCAAGCTTGTCTCTGGTTCCTGTTCTTCCATCTAGTTTTTGCCAAGCTTCAACATTTCAACAGATTTCAACATCTCATTACCTACTCACCACCAATTCTCTCACTGATTAAATGATTTATGTAACAGCTGAAGGGACAGTAGATGAGTGTGTTATAGTCAGTCGTGAATGATGAATTGAGCGAGGTATGTTTCTTCAGTTCTTTGTTGAATAAGTAGGGACCAGCAGTTCTGGGGTACCCCAGGGGAGAGGGGATCCAAGGGAGATGCGTGTTCCCCAGTTCTAAGTCCACTTAAGGCTACAGTAACCAGGGTGTGGCCTGATAAATCAATGTACTGTGGTGTGGGCTGTGTCTTTGCTTTGTCATATATACTGTATGTATTTGTAACACTCAGTGTATGTAACTGTGATATTGTACTGATCCTCCCTTTTGCCCTTAAGCTGTGTTGATGGAGGGGAGGATAGAGCAGGACAGCAGAGTTGCAAACTGGAGGGGTTTTATTGCCCTTAATAATTTAAAGATGCGTGCCAATCACTAAAAGTGCTCCAAAGATGAAGAAAGGTTTACCTACCTCCTTTTCTATACTGGGAGAGGTAGAAGAAAGTGGAGTTGTGTGTGGGGGGGGAGGCTAAAAATGGTTAAAGAAGTATTCCCACAGTCCCTAACCCTAGCGAGAGTGGAGGGGTTGGCAGCAAACTCTCCAATCGATAGCATTGTCTGCGAGCAGGTTCCTGTAACCTGCTGTCCTGCTGAAGCAAGAGCTGCGTTGGCAAGGAACAGAACTTTCAATCTCCCTTTACACAGCAGAAAATGCAACCAAAATAGCTTAGCTGGCCAGTAGTCAAGGCTCTTGACAATGCCCCAAGTAACACAAGGAGAACTCCACTGCACAGGTTAAGGAGAGAAATAGAAACATCAGTAAGACATGAATGTTGCTGGTAAAACCTGTAATTTTAGTGTTTAAACAATTCTTTGATCTGAAAATGAATGCAAAATATACAGTACCATGGTAAAAAAAAAAAAGTGTGTGGCTCCTTGCTCTGTGATTATATGCAAGTGTGTTTGCGTGTCATGAAACTGCAGGTATTCCATCTGAGAAAACCTTTTCCTGTGTTCAGAAGCATTAAAGATGAGATCTGAAACCACACAGCATCCATCAATTATTAAAGACAACTGGGTCAATGATTCACTCTCCTTTAGAAACAAGCAGCATGGAAAACAAAGCCATGCTTACAGCTCTGCTAAAATGTTAATGCCATCAAAAAGTTATGCAAATACACATGCATATATTAAATTGAGATTGCTTCTCAGGATACGTGGCATGCTGTCACTATTCCTTGGGAGATCACAATGACAGTAAATAGCTTCAGTGTCACATACGGTACTGACTGCTAATATGTGATGCACTCTAAATTTAATACGTACTGTAGAAGAAGAAAAATCACAGACATTTTGTTAAAATAGAACTGCTTCATCTTTCAGTAGCTGTAGTCTAACAGCCTACGGCTACTGAAAAAAGCGTTCCTCCTGTTTATACACAAACTTTAAATGTGAGGGAAATTGATGAGCAAAATGATTTGTCTGATTTTTACAGTACAGTACATGGGAAAAGCTGGTCACAGCTCACAAAGTGAAAAGAATTCCCTTTGAGGTTTGCTGAATACTAACAAGGCACATACCACCAGAGAAGGAGAGCTTGGCTAAAAGTAACTGGAACAAGCAGATTTTCTAATAAAGATAAACTACATTAAAATAATATAGTTTTACATATATATTACAGTGTATGACATTGAGAGTGAGTAACAACAGAACACCAGGAGGCATTGAGATGCAATACTTTGCATTCTAGCTTTAATATCTATATTACAAAACCATATTTAGATTTAATAAACTCAATGTTTGTTAGTCTGATGGGTTTGTCTTCATATTAGAGCTTTAGAATTACATCTTCAAGAGGAATTCTAACCTGCAGATTATGCGCTGCTTTTGTCATGATTAAATCTGAAGGCCTGAAGCACTTATTAATGTAAGTGTGCTTTTGCTTCAGTGGGTTGCATTAAGTGAAAAATACAGCTTTCAGTTCTGGTGAGTGATGCAGAAAAACATGTTGGCGTGACATGTTTGTTGCTCGGAGTGCCTGGGGTCAGCCACATTCATTTTGCTGTTTGTTGCCAGTTGTTTTTCGCTTTTAACTGCGGACAGTTTAAATCTATCGCAAAGCTGAGTTGGACAGAGCTCTAGGCTGCACTGTGAAGTCTGGGAACTGCTCTGAGGCTAGCTTGCTGGATAGGCTGAAAATACAAAAGGATATTTTTTCTCTCTAGGTTTTGCTATTTCTTTAAATAAGTGTTTTGTTTTTAAATAATAAAGCCAACTATCTCTTATTCTCACCTTTAATCAATGAATACTGGAAAAAGTGGCACAAAACCTAACATTCCCATTTATCTTTTAAACACCACACTAAAAGAACAAATCAGCATTTTGCTCTTATTGCCCTACTGGTCCAAATTCCTGTCCATTTTGCTTCTTGTGTCACCAGTGTTTACTGCTGCTGGCAACTGTGAGTATCCTGATCACAATCTCTGTAACACAAGACACAGCTTCCCTCGGTTATCAACGCACAAGGTTCACATATATGTCTAAACTACAGCAGAATTAATTATTAATTGTATTCATGTATTGCTTTCCATTCCAAAGGATCCCAAAGCACTTTACATACAGACAAGGACCAGCTTCACAGATCACTGAAGTGCAGAACCCACCTGGGTGCCGACTGGTGGACAAGCTTCACCAATTGATTTAAGGGACCTTTTAAAAAGGGCACAATGTACGGCCCAGAGTGGAATTTAGCCAGAAGAAGGCTGTTAAATGTGAAAGCAGTGACCACCTCCATTCATTGTCTTATCTGAAGGATAGCCTCTCCTGCAGCAGTGTCCCTGGTCACCACACTGAGGGAGTGGAAAGACTAGTCTGGTCCAAAAGGTAGAGCGTCACCTAGTGAGCCACTATCATCACTTACAGCAGCAGCCTGGTGTTTCTCTGAGGTCTCCTATCCCAGAACTGACCAGGCCCAGCCTCGCGTAGCTTCTGAGATCTTAAGGTGGGAAGTCTGCCAATACATACAGTACTGTGTACTGCATAACTGCAAAGAATGCAAGAGGAGAGAGCAGAATTTTTTATTGACTTGCATTAATATTATCAAGTGGGCAGCTGCAAAAGAGTGTATCAGCTGTAAAGGAGCAAGTAAAGATTAATTCCACACTGTAATGCAAAAAGCAAAGTTTTTCAAGATTTCTTCAGTTGTTAGGCCCAACAACTCCTGCATCTTATACATTTCAGCACTGAATGAACCTTTACCTGTTCATTTACACTAATATTATGCCAGGTAAGTCAACTATGGGAATAGAAGAGGTGAGACAACACATGGTAGGTACTGTAGCCAAGAGCATCCTGGAAATAACATCCAGGAAGTCACCAAGAACCCTAGAGTAACAACAAAGGATCTGCGGGCATCTCCAGCTCTGGCTAATTTCTGCCTTCGTGCCACAACTTTCCATCAGGAAAGAACAGACCTAGAGGGGTTTTCATGGGAGCGTAGCTATAACTGATAATTAAACAATCAAATATATACTGTACATTTTACCAGGTCATCGTTGTTATGCCTCGCCCAATGAGTGTTAAGCCTTGCCCAATGAGGACCCGACACTCTCCACATTCCAGTGCAGTTTCAATTAAATAATTAGACACACACCCTCCTCCTGGCTACTTTAACCTGCCTCGCGCTCATCTCTCTGCTCAGTATTGGGTTTATACTTGTCAGGGCCTCGGCTTCCCTGAGTCCTCTCCTGGTCTTCTTGGCTTACAACCCAGTTTTGTTATTGACTCTGATTCCTGTCTCCTGGACTGTGCCCTGTGGAACCCTCTGGTCTGACCTCTGCCTGTTTCAGGCCCCTAACTACTGCCTGCTGGACTCTTCCTCTCTGACCCTAGCCAGGCTACAACCTCCGTCTCTGGATTGCTTTCTGCTCAGCTGTTAACTTTTGTAACAATCATGGTCTTTTATTAGAACTTGTTTGAAGGTTATGTTTTTAGGTCTACAACATACAAGATAACAGATTAACCTTTGGGGATCACAAGCTTTTTCTCGGCACTGTAGATGAAACTGAAATGTTTTAAATACAGTTTGTCACCAACACTCTCCTGCCTTCCAGTAAGGCACTGATGTATGAATTTCTCCTGTTTTGGTGCAGCACTTCTTTTGAGATGAAGGACCATGCCTGTCTGGATCATTAAAAAGATGTGAGGTAGACAAAAATTCATGTCTGTGTCACACAAACACTTCCTGTGTGGGTAGTGTTGGCCGTAGGACATCTTGTTCACAGAGAGGAAAAAAATACACGATGGCAAGTCAGTACACAAACCAAAAGGCCAGTTTTATTGAAGGTTACGCAGCTGGCCACACAAACACGCACTGGGTCTCTTCACTCAGTATGAAAATTAATAAATAAATAAATAAAGGAACAATCTTTTTATTTTGCTCTTATTTCTAAACCCCTAACTCACCACAACCAACTCCTGACTCCCAACAAACCCTAGTGCTCACCACACCCTTACAATAGGATCTGGACTGTACCATTATGGATACACTAGGTGTAAAACATAAAGTTCACAAGATTAACAACACATAGCTCAGTAGTCGGGACTACCTGGACACACAAATACATGAAACCCTTAACAATACACAGGACAGACATTCATTAGATATTCTATACCTGGTTGCCATTTTTAGCAATAACATTAGGTTCTAATAACTTCCCCTCTCATGCATTCCAGCAATGGTATGTTCCACTAGCTACATTTCAGGCATATGACCAGTCTCCTATCTGTTTGCAACCTTTTGACCTTTCTGAGGACCCTTCCAAACAAATAGGCACTGGCTTCTCCTCTCACGCAGTGCTGTTAAGAGGTAAGCTAGTGGCATTCTATACTCTGCTTTGTTTCTTTAGTGCCATTTCTCTAAACAGTGTTCTCTACCATTAGTTTCCCCTCCTTTCCACAACCTGTGTGTGCACCCGCAGGCTGAGAAACAAACAGGGTAAATTGGTGAGAACTGGCACACACTGGTGTTTCAGAAAAACATAAGCTCCATTAACTTTTGCCACCCCTGTCCTAACATGTTCCATTTGCCACAGTGACAGACTGCTCTGTCACTGTTTGTCATTTTCACTTTTCACCTGAATTATCTCAGATATAAAGCAACGAATCTGTGCCTTCACTTATTTGGCATAGACATGTGTGATTGTTAAATTGCATGTGGCACCAAATGTTGATACTTCATAGCAAGTTAGACATGTTGTGAAGAATTTAGTCAAAGACGGGCTAAACAATCTCTTAGTGAATTCATTTTGTAACATTGAAAATAGAATAAAGTACAGTTGCATATCTACAGTGCGGATCTATATTATTCTTAAGAAGTTACAGAGAAGATAAATGATCCACTTCCTTACACATTTCACACTGAAAATTAGCTACTAGTAAAGGAACAGTGTCATAGATTTACTCTACTTTTGCCTTCTTATGATCAGTCTTTTGTGGCCATAATGCACCCTTTGACTTAGTGTTTTATAATTTCAAGCCTTTGATTACAATATAGTAACGGGTTGGATTTCCATCATCCCTTATTGTCTTACTGCAAGAGACAATGCTTAAAAAAGAAATTAACATCCTGTATGCTTAATCTTTAAACAGCTAATTTTCATTGCAAGGTTCTCTACATGGTTAGTAGTGTTAGTAGCTCA